AAACATAGTACTGTTAGGTACAATACCGCACGCATACATAATGCTGATATCTAGTAGCATACAATACTGTATAAATACTAGTGGTGGGCATAGATTAATTTGTTTAATCTAGATTAATCTAACTGTAATCTTGGAATTAATCTAGATTAATCTAGATTAAAATGGCTCATTTGAATTCTGTCGACGGCATTCATAATATGTGTGTGCTACCTAAATAATGACTAAAAATAAATCTGCGCGATTGTTGACGGGGGGGGGGGGGGGGTACGCGATTGTTGACCAGAGGGGGAGAGGTGCGCGATTGTTGACGGGAGGGGGGGGGGGGGGGGGGGGGGTTCACGATTGTCAACAGGGGGGGGGGGGCAGTAATGACACCGCGAATACGGACGTTTATCATCTTTTTTTTTTTTTAAATTTTTAAGAGGCCCCTGATTGGCTGAGGTCCCGGGCTGAAACCCAGGTAAGCCCGTGCATTAAGGCGCCACTGCCCAGACCTACGACCGACGGGGGGGGGGGGGGGGCGCCGGGCAGAGGACGCAGCCGTTCCGCGGCGCAGCCGTTCCGCGGCGCTTACCTTCCTTGGTGGAAATCCGGTATAGACCCAGCTCCCAACCCAACTTTGAGAATAGATTAACGGCGATAATTTTTTTATCGCGCGATAAGAGTCTTGCGTTATCGCAGCGCGTTAACGCCGATAACGGCCCACCACTAATATATACACAGTGCTGTTAGCTAGTACAATACTGTACAAATACACATTACGTGTCATCACGTGAGCGAGCCAGAATAATACTACATTAGCTAGAACAATACTGTACGAATACAAATACATTGGTATTGTACTACACAGCTATATCTGCGTTACCTACAGCACTACAGTCAATTATAGTAATGGCTCTAAGATTTGTGGAATCTTTACTGGAATTGAACATCCAAAACTGTGAAGCAACCTTACATCATTCAAAACAGCCTGGGAAAAAAAGACAATTTTGTCCAATATGTAATAATGGTCGTACCTATAGCGTCCTTGAGGTACTTGTGTCCGATCAGCTTGAGGTACTCTTCTATGGCTTTGGTGGCCAGAGTGTTCTCTCTGAAGATAAGGTGTTCTCGGTCCATGAATCTGTCCACCTCACACATCGCCATGTCTGACAGGAAGTCCTGCAGAAACACAGCAGAAACATTCTCACACTTAGGATTCAATCTTTTACTTTGACTAGTCAGTCATTTAGCAGACGATCCTTCAGATACATGAAATTAATGAGTAGGTAGGGGTGAGTTTGCTTAAAAGTGTCTCCAAGTAGACTGAAGACGTTGACGATTAATAATTATATATATCATTTTATATATACAAGCAATTGAAGAATCTACGTGAGGCTTTTTATGAATGTCCTTGCTCATTGTCATTGTTGCCAGTAAAGTTAATTAAGGTAATTTATTTACTATCGTTCTTTTTCTGATTCGTATGGCGACTCTGCACTCTGTCCAGCTGTTGTTTTTAAACTATCTCGCACCTCTCGTTCGCTTTTTCTGTAGCTACCCCAACTTTGATGGTATGCCTTGATTGTTCTCAGCCTAACTTGTGTGGGTCGCTTTGGATAAAAGCAGCATCGAACCGACTCCGGCCTCCCGGCCTACCTTAGCCTTCCCTGTGCTCTGCAGGATGTGCACCAGGGCGCACGCCACCTCCTCTTTGCTCTTGACGCTGAGCACGGGCTCCAGCACGGCGCACAGCGTGCGGTAGTTGTTGGTGACATACTCGGCGAACTCCTTGTACAGCTCCATGGGCAGGATGCTCATGGTCTGGTAGCGGGACTTGAGGCGCAGCGACGCGTTGATGATCTTCCCCCCGCCCGCGCCGGCCCCCTTGGTGAGGACGCTGGGCTGGATGACCGGGTACCACTGCTCCACAAACTGACGCCCTGTGATGCTGGAAATGGGGATGCTGACCAGGCCCAGGTATGTGCTCTTCTCCTGTACATCGCAACGTACCACACGCGACACACAACGTACCACACGCGACACACAACGTACCGCACAGAACGTACGACACACACAACAAAGAACATACGACACATAACATAGAACATGCAACATGCGACACAGAACATATTACACAGAACATACGACACACAACATAGAATGTAGAACATACAACATATGACACACAACATACAACACAGAACATAGAACAAACAACACACAACATAGAACATACAACACACAACGTACGACACACAACACAGAACATACGACACAGAACATACAACACACAAAATAACATACAACACACAACATAGAACATACGACACAGAACATACAACACACAAAAGAACATACGACACACAACATAGAGCATACAATGTGCAACACAGAACATACAACACACAACAGAACATACGACACACAACATAAACATACAACACACCACGTACAACAGGCAACATAGAACATACAAAATAGAAGTGCACCATGATCAACAGTGAATCAACAGTAAGTCAAGATCATTTCATTCCCAACTGTCCAAACTTGCATATGTTTAGACTTTAGAGAAAAGATGAATGCCCCCACTTACAAGAGTACAAGATTATTATATAAATAAACCAAGAAAAGGAAATCGAAATTGACCCAAAGCAATACATAGTACAAAATAAACCACTGTGAGATCCCAGTGGACCCGAGTTTAATACAGGATTAGCCAGATTAAATTTTTGGGTTGCACTACAAATACGAGGTGGAATTCACGCTCTGTGTGCCTTGGGCCTTAGGCCTGCATGAGGGTGAGGGTTTTGTTTCGCTGGTCTGGTTTCTCCTCCTCACCTTGCGTCTCTTCTTGTCCGTCTCCTTGTAGAGGTGAAGGCGAAGGTTGCGGACGGCGGGCAGGTTGTTGAACTCAAAGTGTTCTCCCCAGAAGACGGTGTCGGTGCGGGGCTTGCTGGTGGTGCGAGCGTACAGCATGTCGTCCAGGCACAGTTCACAGTAGTAGCGCTTCTTGGCTGGAAGCTCGCGGGCCTCGATGATCCACAGTTTGAGCACATTGTCCACACGCCGGCTGTTGTCCTGTGGAGACACGGGCGAGGGGTGGGGGGGGGGGGGGGGGGGGACAAGGGTGTGAGAGAGAGGGTGATGATGCTGGGGGACATGTCTCGATATCGAGAGCAGGGTCGCTACGACACCGGACAGCGGACAGATGGCATGAAGGCAGATGAAGACAACATGTGAGGAGGAGGACGAACGTAAACATCACAAACAATGTGATGGGAGCACAGCTTTTTTTATTTTTATGTGTGTGTGTGTGTGTGTGTGTGTGTGTGTGTGCATTTACATACATGTATATTAACTTGTATGTGCAGCTGTGCACCTGTTTGTGTGTGTGTGCGTGTATGTGTGTTTATTGTTTGTATGTGTCAATATGCATTAATTAGTGTGTGTGTGTGTGTGTGTTTATTTGTTTGTATGTGTGTAAATGTGTGTGTTTGTATCTGTGAATATGCATGTGTGCGTGCCGTGTGTGTGTGTGTGTGTGTGTGTGTACTAATTTCCATGTGTGGCCATTCTTGCCAGCCCACACATTAGCGCATTGAAGTGGTGTGAGATTGAGGGAGCCAGCAGGCAGCAGCAGCTCAGTTCCTGTGATAAATGAACACTAGGAAGCCAGAAAGCCTGGAGGTCCAGTCCAACCAGGAGGTCCACCGCTGTGGCTCAGGAACCATGACTACAGGACTCAAAACACCAGCACAGCCGAAAGGCAGGAGGTCTGCGAGCTACAAACTTTGGGAAAATGTCAAAGTCATACAAATCGGTGAGCGGACCGGTCTGGCGAGGAGGAGCGATAGAAAGGCAGCGGCCTTTGAACAGCCTCACACCAGGACCCAGAGGGCATGATTGCCCGGGGTCTCTGCACAACAAGCGGTTTTCTGGTTTCCCGCCGCAAACCAAAGAAAGCAAAAATACACAAATCCATATGTGATGTGTCCCGTGCGAGGCGGGATCGCTCTGCTGATTGCAGAGAGAGAGAGCGAGAGAGAGAGACAGAGAGAGAGAGAGCGGTGCTTTGAGCTAGCAGGTGCTGAGTCACACCATTCGGGCTGAAATGCCACAGCGGCAGCCTCCACCACCTCCTCCACCTCCGCAGCCTGGCTCTGACTCCCTGGCTCCTCAGACAAGCTGGCTGAAACACATCAGCACCGCCAAGCTTACAAAAGCCCTCGGAGAGCGCGTTGAAATAGCACCCAGAACGAATCTTACTTCTGCGATGTGCTCGTTTTAAGGATAGGCTGTAAGCGCGCGCGGGGGGGGGGGGGGGGGGGGGGGAACGTAGGAGGATTTGTTGATTTGGTTCGACGGAGGAGTTTGATTGGATGGTCCGGAAGCGACAAAACATGTTGTGATTGCTAGCCAGCTGTGTGTTAGCCCGGTGTGTGTGGGGTTGAGATGGGAGGGGGGGGGGGTGACGTTAAGCCTATTAACGACATGGTAACGTCATCAAGGACTTCTTTGGGAAGCAAAAAAGTGAATCATCAGTTGTTCATTTCATGTTGTCTGAGAGATCCTCTGTGAGTTTCTTCTGTCATCTCGCTCCGCCCGCGATATTAAACCAGCTGATTCTGCTCTTCTACGTTCCTCTGGGAAGGGCTAATTAGCACATCCAGATTGCTGACTGAAAAAAGAAATAACAGGGAATACTTTGAGAAGCTGGGACTCCCAGCTGCGCGGTGATCACCACCATGATCCTCTCCGTCTCCCGCCATCGCTCTCCATCTTAGTCTGTGTTTCGATGGTACCTCTATTTCGATGGTACCTCTACTTCAAACACCCACCCTTCAGGACAACACACACCTGAGAGGTCAAGTCACCTCAGGACTGAACTAAAAGCCTGATAGAACCGGATCAGCTATGTTTTCATCCAATGTAACCTATTAATAGCGAATAATAGATGCATGTCGTTGAGCAGCGGGGAGGGGTTAGGGTCCTCTTGCTCATGCATGCCTACGGGTCGCCGGCAGACATCGGGATTCGAACGCAGAGCCCTTTAAAGCCATGAGTCTAACACCTGTCTAACCACTCGGCTATCCTGCCCCCAATTGTTGGAATAATTGCTCTCAGACCTCTGCTGTTTTCTAATCTCTGACGACACATCTGCCCTGCGATGCAAAGTGCTTGCTGTTTTTGGACCGGAGGGGGGTTGGATGCGGGCAGAGACAGATTTCCGAGACGGAGGGAGGGGTCCTTTGGTCCTTTTTTCAGCCAGATCCTCGGCGGCGGTGGGCCCTGGACCCCTGGGGCCAGAGCATCTGGGCTTGTGAGTCATTGGACCGCGGACGACGTTGCATCTCAGCCAGGCTTTAATAGTATGTGGTTCCCCACTGAGGTCTTCCAGCACACCCAGCTGCATCCGCCTCCCCGCGACCTCCTTCCTCCCTATCTTCATAGCGAGGACAGGAGAGGGGAGGGCGCCCGTCTGGGAATGTATTTGTCTCGTATTTTGTATTTTGTCACACAAAGCACGGCTCAAAAGCGTCCGATTATTCCTGCCGAACCCCCCCCAGCAACTCCTCTTCATATGCCAAAGTAGTTTTTTCCCGGGGATAGATATGAAACCACTTGGTGCCTGAATGACCTTGTTTACACCGTGCGTTATAATGCGAGCTGTTTCTGGGGGATATTCGTATCTGGAGTCAAAAAAAGTGTTTCAAATGCTCGTTTTTTTTTTTTAACGTAATGTTGCTGCTGTTGTTGTTTATGAACAGCGGCCGCTTCCAAACACACGGACGGATACACTGAACACGCACACGGGGCACGCACACGCAATGGAGGTTCACACACAGAGACGAGACGACGACGACGTGACGTCCGACCGAAAGACAGACAACAACGAGAGACAAGGGGGTGGTGGTAGTGGAGGAGGGGGGGGGGGGGTGGGGGGGGGGGTGGAGGCGGTGGCGAGCGAGCGGAAAGGGGAGAGAGAGGGAGACACACACACAGACAAGTGGGTTGTCGTCGGTTGCTTTCCCGCTCTTTTCTCTCCCCTCACCTTGTTGGGTTTGACAGCTCTCTGCAGGTTCTCGATCCACTTGTCTCTCTCGGCGGCCGAGCGACAAGCAAAGCACTTGGTCCCCGACGCTGTGGTGACCTGGGGTGTAGCCAACGGCAACATCAACAACCACAGCCATTAGTAACCACGGGGATGGCGAGCTCGGGTTTTCACGCACCTCAGTTTGTTTTGGGGGATTTGTTTTTTGTGTGCGAGCGGCTGAACGGGTACAAAATCAAATCTGTTAGGTTGGATTTTTTTGTTGTCCTTTCTAAATGTACACCAGGTCCTTGCGGTGCCCTCCTGTTTTATTCATGACGTTTTTTTTTTTTTAAATCAAATGTATTTAGTGAAAATTCAATTTTGTGATCGCATTTACCGCTTGTGTGTGTGTGTGTGTGACTTGTATGCGTCCTTGTGTGTATGTCCATTATCCACGGCTAAGGCTAACGCGCTAACAGCGTTAGTGGCCCACCGCAAAAGCAGTAGCCTACTCATTGCTAAAGCTAACAGCGCTAGTGGCTCACCGCAAAGCAGTACTCATTGCTAAAGATAACTGCGCTAGAGGCCCACCTCGAAGCAGTAGTCCTGGCTAAAGCTAAAAGCGCTAGTGGCCCACCTCGAAGCAGTAGTCCTGGCTAAAGCTAAGAGCGCTAGTGGCCCACCTCGAAGCAGTAGTCCTGGCTAAAGCTAAAAGCGCTAGTGGCCCACCTCGAAGCAGTAGTCCTGGCTAAAGCTAAGAGCGCTAGTGGCCCACCTCGAAGCAGTAGTCCTGGCTAAAGCTAAGAGCGCTAGTGGCCCACCTCGAAGTAGTAGTCCTGGCTAAAGCTAAGAGCGCTAGTGGCCCACCTCGAAGCAGTAGTCCTGGCTAAAGCTAAGAGCGCTAGTGGCCCACCTCGAAGCAGTACTCCTGGCTAAAGCTAACAGCGCTAGTGTCCCACCTCGAAGCAGTAGTCCTGGCTAAAGCTAAGAGCGCTAGTGGCCCACCTCGAAGCAGTAGTCCTGGCTAAAGCTAACAGCGCTAGTGGCCCACCTCGAAGTAGTACTTCTGGCTAAAGCTAAAAGCGCTAGTGGCCCACCTCGAAGCAGTAGTCCTGGCTAAAGCTAAGAGCGCTAGTGGCCCACCTCGAAGCAGTACTCCTGGCCCAGGATGCTGGAGTGGACGGGCTTGATGATGGCGTCCTCGTCCAGGGTGAGGTCCAGGGCCTCGGCCGCGCTGCTGGGGGACAGCAGAGACTCATGGGAGTGGGACTCTTTGAAGCTCTGCATCAGACGGGTCCTAGACAGAGAGAGAGAGAGAGAGAGAGAGAGAGAGGGAGAGAGAGAGAGAGTCAAGTACATTACATTAAACAGATATGACATAAACATAGACCATTGAGCTACAATGTAAAACACAAATACCTTACATTACATTTTTTTAAGAAACGCAGATTTAAAATAACTAGTGGTGTAAATCAACCGGACAAATATCCAGAGCAGTATCGGTGTGTGAGTATGAGTAAAAGCACAGAACAAGATGTGTCTGTCTCGCTCGCCTACTCTCTCTCCTGTACGCCCACACACACTCACCTCCAGGACACACACACAGTTCCTTCAGGACACACACACACACACACACACACACACACACTCATTAGAGGATGTCAGGGACACGTGCATTCAAACACACACATATTACACGCACACACACACACACACACACACACACACACACACACACTGCACACACTATAAAAAAACACTTTGCAATAATACAGAGCTCTGCCATGATGAGTGGTAAAATAATGTGTTGTAAAAAAATAAAATAAAATAAAATAATCCAGAAAACGCAAGAGGAAAAAAAACAAACAGTGTCTGAGATAAGTAAAGGACAGAAGAGACAGAAGAGATACAAGAGGAAGATGAAAGAGATATTGTCCCTACTAAGTCCTTGGTACCTCCCGAGTCTCCTGTGCTCTCCTCCGTTATGGACAACATTCAAACACAATACCCTTCATCAACAATTGCACAGAGAGAGGGGGAGTTGGGGCGAGAGAGAGAGAGAGAGAGAGAGAGAGATGGGGGGGGGGGGGGGGGGGGGGGGGGGCTGGGGGGCTGGGGCCAAGAGAGAGAGTGCGAGAGATGGAGAGAGAGAGAGCTAGGGAGGGGGAGTTGGGACGAGAGACACAAGAAGATGAGAGAGGGAGGGGAGATAAAAATAGACCCATAGGAATGAGTCAGAATGAGGGGAATAAGGAGAAGCGAGAGAAAGAGCGAGAGAAAGAGCGAGAGAAAGAGCGAGAGAAAAGAGAAAAGAAAAGAGAGAGCGAGAGAGAGAGACAGAGACAGAGACAGAGAGACAGAGGGAGAGAGAGAGTATGGTGGTGGTCAGAGAGTACATGGGCGCATGCTGGTGTGTGCGTGCATGAGTGTATGTACGTGTGTGTTTATGTGTTTGTGTGTATGTGTGGACAGGTAAGGAGGCTTCTCAGAGGAAATCAAGGTGTTATGTAAACTGAGGATCCTTGGGGGGAGCGAAGGAGTGAGGGCATGGATTAGAGATAATCCAGAAAGAGAGAGGGATGGGAGAGAGAGAGAGAGAGAGAGCTGTAGATAGAGAGAAGGATAGAGAGAGAGAGAACGAGAGATGAGGAGAGAGAGGGAGATACAGTATGAGGAGAGAGCGAGAGAGATGGGGAGAGCTAGAGATGAGGAGCGAGCGAGAGATGAGAGCGAGAGCAAATAGGGAGAGAGAGAGGGAGCGATGGGGAAAGAGGGGAGATAGGGAGCGTGATGAGGAGAGAGCAAGAGCGAATAGGGAGAGAGAGGGAGATATGAGCAGAGAGCGAGAGAGATGGGCAGAGCTAGAGCAAGAGAGAGAGCGAGAGATGAGGAGAAAGCGAGAGATGAGAGAGCGAGAGATGAGGAGAGCGAGAGCGAATAGGGAGAGAGAGAGAGGGAGTGAGAGGAGCAATGGGGAAAGAGAGAGATAGGGAGAAAGAGAGAGAGAGAGAGAGAGAGACAGACACCGGACATTCAAACAAAGTTCAGTCAGGCTTTGTATTTGTTTCTGTATTTGCCTTCTGATCACCACTAACTTTGAGGAATCCCTGCAACGAGTCACTACTTTACCAGTGATGTCTTCGATGTCTTTGTGACTTCGCATGATGAGCAATATTTCACTCACAAGATGATGATTAAGAAAACAGCCTACTCTGCACTGCATTGAAAGCTATTTATCCCGGGCGGGATGAATAAAGCATAAATCTTATGCTTATCGTATATTTGTGTATATAACACAGGACCGGAGACTCATTTAAAAACGGTAAAACGTAGCGCGTCTTCCTCAAACAGGCTGAGCTCCAGAAGAACTCTGTTGACCTTGGCTCGGTCTCTGCGTCCGCACACATAATAGACATCTCCAACCGTCTGCCCATGAATAAACCATGCTCGCACGCCCAGGAGAGAGAGAGTGTGTGTGAGAGAGGGAGAGGGAGACAGACAGAGGGAGCGAGAGAGAGAGAGAGAGAGAGAGAGAGAGAGAGAGAGAGAGAGAGAGAGAGAGAGAGAGAGGGAGAGAGTTCTCGGTTCTGATTTTGGCCTTGTGCTCTGATTGGCTCATTAAATTGACCTTCGTCTGGGTTTTTGATGAAGTCTGAGGTCTGGGCTCCGCCACGGTACCACTTTCTGTCTGGGGCGGGCTTTTGACTGGTTTTGTGGATCACTCAAACACTCTTTATTACTGTTCATTGTAAGACCAGGTATAAAGTACCTCCTCACTTGTGTTTTTCGAATGAAGTGAGCCTAATTAATGGACGATAAGCTTTAGTCGGTTCTAAATGTCAGACGCTTTTTAAAAGCTCCTAAAATGCTTCAAGAAATGAAATGACCTGACAAATCGCTCGCAGTTGAACATCAGTTCCCAGAAAAGACTCCAAGACGCCATGTTGAAGTTTCATTATCTGAAGAGACTCTCACTTAAGACACAAATATACCGCACGCACAGAACGTCTTCAGGGAAGCTGTGATCCAATGAGGACGATCACACTGTTGGGCTGTCCTCCCG